TCCTATTGTGTGAACTTTTCCCTTGAATTAAAGATTAATATTTGCTTCATATGGGGGAGAATAAAAAGGGGCAAGTTAATTAGATGAAAGAATTAGTTTTGTTTACCATGTAGTACTGCAAACATAAACAGCTCCTAACCCTGTGTACACACTCCCTATATATATGAGGGCATGTCTTCTACAACGTGTATTCACACACACTATTCCTAAACACTCTTATCTGTTTAGCCAGCCAATTAACGTTAAACCAACGTTTGGACGTAGCGCATGTCTCCTATAAACATGAGTAATGTATTTGCCGTAAAAATAATGATTAGAATGAATTAATCCATCTGATATGTGTATTATAGGGATTTAAATATGTGGTTTTAAGAGATTTTCATAACCCTAGATGCCACAGTTAAAAACAAACACCAGCACAAACCATTTTGCAATCTCTTAAACAAATAAAATTGCCTTGATTTAAATAACATTTATTTTACATGACCAAACACAATAAATAACGTAATATACAAAGCTTTATAATTATTGCACATTTGTAAAATATCTTACAGTGAGTTCGTACATCCAGCGATATTTTAAAGCACGAAGACTTTATTTACAGTTTCATTTCAACATAATAACCAGATCCAATGGACCCAAAGTATGATGAATTTATGTTAATTTTACCAACCAGCGTTCTCATCAATCATATATATTTTGGGGGGAAAATGTAAACATTATTGCCTAAAGTACCTTATATACATCTGTTAGCTGATCATAACAAAGGACTTTAACAATCTAAAAAGGTAAAGCTGATAAAGTATATCATATTTTGGTTTATTTTATTTAGCCTTAAATTATATATTAATATTTTTTAAAATGTAAACTCGGTAAATAAGACTGGTATAATCGATATTTTACATAAGTAGTCTCATGTCTTTAAAAACAAAAACAAAAACTTGAGCTTTAGATCATTGCTATTTCATTGGGAAGTTCTCTAATATTTTATGGGAATATTTTAATAGACTTCAGGAATTTTGAAATACTGTTTCCCCTTGAAATATTTTCCATTTGATGGAAATAATAATTTCTCCTGGAAAACGAATTCTTTCAAAAGTTTACTGAAAGCCTATATTTAGGAAATGATATTTTAAAATCCAGTGTCTTTCAAATAACAATAATGTGTCAGGACACAAATTTGAAATAAACCACAGAAAATAGTGCCAATGTGTATGTATAAATGAATATGTGTGTCTCTCTCACATATGTATTTGTTTAAGAGCAAGGATATATATATGCATATACATACATATACATATATATACACATACACATGTAGGTAGCATACCTACACTTTAATACACGTACACACACATACCACTTCGCTGGGCCTAAACATGCACTAGCAAGTTATTTTAGGGCTTCAACTCTTCAGAAAATCTCATTATGTGAGGAGCGAAGTGGCTCTGCGGGGAGCATTATGGTAATATCTGGGCTTGATTTAATGAGGCTGTTCACATTGGTGGAATATCAACTTAACAGAGAAAAGTCTACCCAGGGTGTCCAAGTTACCAAAATGAAAATTGGCAATTGAGATGATAAGAACGTGGCTTTCTTCTGCGAAATCACTTCAGGTAACAGAGATAACATTAAATAACATACATTCTATGCACCAAGAACAATGTTTTATGTACCGAGTCTCTTATCCGTCTCTCCTAATGACTTCCCTTAGCGGGTTGTTAGTACTTGACAGCAGGTCTCCGTGCGGGGAACTTTTCTCCAATTCCACATTCAAAGGAGGTCCATCAGAGAGCATGATTGGCAATTTTCGTCATAATCTGCACATTATTAGCATCAAAATTGACGTGGCAGTTAACACTGGTGGGTTTTGATGTACCTTTCTTCAAGTTCAAGGAAACCCCTCCAGTAGCCGGGTTGGCAGAGCGGGTCTCAGCAACCCAGCGGTGGCTTTGCAGAGGCGAGGGCGCAATAGACATGCATGAGAAATATGCCAAGAACCATTTCACCCAAGGAAAAGGAAAGCAAAGAGGGAAGGGGACGAGGGGCATAGAGAGTTCGAACTTAGAAAAATGTCTAAGGAAATGCTTTAGGATAATATTACTATATCTAGAGATTCAAGTATTTCCCAGATCGAGTGGAACCCAGTAGTTGGAAAACTGAGCTGAAAACGCCTCTCCAAATACTACAGCGATCTATCAATCTTGCCCCCACCCCCACCTCCACCCCCTTCCTGTCCCTTCCCTGGCCTGGCTGTGGCAACTTCTTTTGCCATTATTTTTTGCGTAAAATATGCAAGATGCTTCCATTCCATCAGCACTGAAACCAAAGACCAAAAGAGGGAACGGTGTAGGACCGAGAAGGAGGAGACGCGACGGACACCCCTTCCCACTTCGGCTTTGTCCTTCCCAGAGAAGGCGGCCACAGCCCTACCCGCCTTGCTCCTGAACGCAATAAACAATCTCACAAACACACCCGCCACTGCCCACGCTCTCCATCCGCCCTCCCGGCCTTCTCAGACCTCCATTCTCCCGCTGTCTTCGGGCAGGGCCTCTAACGAGCTCAGGCCGAAAGAACATTTGCCACCTCCCCCACCCTCGTTTAAAGAAAATAAAGGAAATATGGAATAAAAAGAGCAGCAGCGAGAAACCTCGGGGACGACTCCTACCCCGCCTCCAAACACCAGCGCACAGCATCCCCCTCTCTCTTTGTTGTGGTTCTCCTTTGCTTCGGGCTACGCGGTGCAGCCGAGCAACCCGAGGCTGAGAGCGCACAGCCCGGACTAGCTTAGGGGACAAGGGGGATTGTCTTTGGGGAGTCAGGCGCTCAGGACAGAGGTGGAAAGTGGAGCCTGGGAGCCAGAAAAGAGATAAGGGTAGACCGCTGGGTGGCAAATACAAAAATAGAAATAATTTACGGGGACCCCCACCAGGCTTTTGCGCCGGCTCCTTCCCCCCCAGTTCAGGGCAGGTTCCCTTCGGCCTCCCGGGCCCTGGGGCGCCCCCTGGCTGCAGCGGTAGCAGCGGGCAGCGCATGGAGGGCGCAGGGGGCGCACAGGGGACTCCCGGACACACTCAGAGCGGCGAGCGCGGCCCCCTGGCGGTGGCGACGTAGTTATCTGGTGAGCGGAGCCTCGTCCCTCTGGTCCGGCGGGCTCACGGCCGTCTTACTAAGCACGGCGGCCGAGTAGGGTAGGAAGCCACTCTCGGAACGCGGAGTCGCCGCGCTGCAGCCGAAGTCCGAGCCTCCCCCGGCACCTGCGCCGCCGCCACCGCCACCGCCGCCACCACCGCCACCCCGGGAGCCCAGGGCTGCGGCAGCTGCTGCTGCAGCTGCTGCCGCCGACTGACTGCTGTGGCAACTGAGGCACGAGCAGGGTGCAGAGCCGCCGCTGGGGGGCGCTCCGGCCGCTGCAGCCGAGGAGGCAGCAGCCGCTGCAGCTGCCGCGGCAGCTGCAGCCGAGGCCGCGCTATTGAGCCCGGCGGCCGCCGCGGGAGCCTGGTAGAGACCAGGGTGGCGGAAGCTACACAGCAGCTCCGGCCGAGAGTAGGGGTGCGAGAGGGCTCGGAAGGTGTCCAGCGGCCGGATGGAAGTAGCGAAGGGCGACGAAGCCGCGGCTGCTGCGCCAGAGGCTGCTGCCGCAGCCGCCGCCGCCGTGACGCCCACGTGTGGGTAGTAGTGCAGCGGCACGTGCGAGTGGAAGGGGTAGGGCAGGCTTCCGGTGGCGGCCGCGTGCGTCATCATGTAGGTGTAGAAGCTGGGGTCGGCTGGGTGCGGCCAGGACATGGCCAGGCGCTGCCGCTTGTCCTTCATGCGCCGGTTCTGGAACCACACCTGCGGGGAGAGACGCGCCGCAGCCGGGTTAGGGAGTGCCCCATATTCCCGGCCCCTATCCCGGGACCTCTGCCCCTCCCGGACATCGGAATGGCTTGGCCTACTTCTCTTCTACCAGCCCAACCCCCAGTCCACTCTGTTCTCCCAGCTGGGAAAGTGTGGACGGCAGTGTGTGGACCGCGGTGGGCACACCTTCCTCAGGGAAGACAGTCTTCTCCCCCCACGCCGGGCTGCTGGGGTTCATCGGGCCTTTGTGCTCCCTTACTTCTTGCTGCGCTTTCTTGTCCCAACCCAACCTTTCCTTCTCTCCCGCCACCCACCAGTGCCGGACTCGCCAAGCAACCGTCTCTCAATCCCAGGATTTGCACGGGGATTCTGGGCAGCCTTTGAAGAGATGCTGCCGCTCAGTTTTTCTGAGAGGTTGCCGCGCAAAGTCTTGAGCCCTCCGAACCACAAGGACCTGCCCCTAGGGGCACGGGTCCGATTTTGATATCGAAAGGATGATTTTGTTGGAATCGTTTGCCTTAAATGAGTGGCTAGACCAATGTCTCCATAAACGGGGAAGGGGACGTTTCCACTCCTCCCCACACTCTCTAATAAAGACATCATTCGTCACAACTCTAAATTAAAGAAAGCCCGATAAAACCAGAGGGAGACTTCCACACTACTCCCCTACCCCATGGAGTTTTTTCTTTTTCTGCAATGTGGAATGCTCCATGAAGGGCTCACCAAATCGCCTAACCTCCCTATTATCTCTCCCAGACATACTATAGTAAAATTAATAACCTAAAGTTATATATAAATAAAGACAATTTCGTTGTGTTTCCCCCCCCCCCCAGGAGGTTGCCCTTTTCCCATTGCCCAAGAGGAAAATGTTTAGGAACTACTGTCTCAAACGAATCGATTTTAAAAATATAGTATCCTTTTCTCCATGTAACGATTTATGCGGAAAATAAATCTCCAAGATCAAGAGCAAATGAAAAGTTTCGCCTCTTGTTCCTGCTTGAGGAACAAAGACCAGCCAGGTTTGCCGCCTAGGAAAAAGTGGGGCCATGGACATGGGCTGGGGGCATTTGGGCAGGCGTTGGGCACAGTGGAGCAGAGGCGAGCGTTTTCAGCATTGGAGCCACCATTCAGGGGCCTTCTTAGATTCGTCAGGCCGGACAACCGTTCGTATTCGGTAGCCAAGAAATAAATAAGCAATTCCTTTGGTGACTACCCCCCGCGGATTTCCAGACCCTCAGCTGAATCTAGCCACCCTGAAAGGGGAAAGGGGAAAAAGGAACAAATCAACCCAGATGCCCTGGGGGAGGCCAGGGCAGGCACGCACTGGAATCGATACCTTGATGGTGGTTTCGGGCAGGTTGAGCGCCGCGGCCAGCTCGCACCGGCGGGGCCGTGACACATAGTTCTCCCGGTAGAACTCCTTCTCCAGGCGCGCGATCTGCTCGCGGGTGAACGCAGTACGGTAGCGCCGCACTTGATCCGCGCCGGAGCCGGAGCCACCCAGCGCCGCGCCTCCGCCGCTGCCGCCGCTGCCTCCATGAAGGCTGCCGAGGCCTGAGCCCGACGCCGACGTCGTCGTGCCAGCAGCCGAACTGCTCTCTGTGTACCCTGGCAAACAAACGGCCAACAGCGCATGAGTCGCTGTAGGGCCGACAGCCCTGCGCTGGTGCTGCGCGCGGATCGGGAAGCCTCATCAGGAAGGAGAGTCGCTGTCGGAATTGATGGGGTCTGTCATGCTTACAAATTGCTGCCGTTAATGGAATCAATAAACTTTGGGGAGCCCTTCATAAGCAAATAATAGAAACGGAATTAGAAGATTTCTTTTTAATAATTAGAAATTTTCAACCAAGGAGGAAAAGTGGCTTAGGGAAAATGCCTACCTCTGGGCGCAGTTTGGGAAGCTCTGGGTTTGCCATGGTCTGGAGACCGCAGGGCGGCTTTCCGTACGCCCTCTAGTCTTTGAGTCTTCGGGGTTTCAAATATTTTAAGATTTTCGAGACAGCAGCAGCTCAAACCCGAGCCATTAAGGGGTGAGATCTACTTTTCAGCTCTTTCTCCCGCTAACTTAAACAGAGACTCCCTGCAAGGCTTCCTTCGATTTACCCAGAAGAATGCTCCCTCCATCTGGCCCTGAAGGTTCAGGGTCAGCGGAGCTCAGAGCAGTTGCCCAGGGTACCTTTCCCAAAAGGAACTCGGCTGCTGACTAGGGGTCTACCGGCTCGTTTGTACTCTTAGACACGAGCGCAGAAACATTTTCTTGAACTCAGGAGCGAGGGCGGTGGGCCTGGTGTTCCAGCCTCCGCAGGCCTGCACCTGGTTGGAAAGCTTAAGAAGCAGGACCAGAAGGCAGGGTCCCAGGCACGCATCCCGCCCCCGCCCGAGCTAGCTCGAAGTAGCTTGCTTTTGGAGGGTCTGAGAGGGGCAAAGGCTCGGTGAACGGCCGGCGGGGGCCGCGAAGGAGCAATGAGGTTGGGACTGGAGAGCGCGGTGCGGCGGCGCAGTTACCTTTGCCATTGTTTTCCTTGAGCTGAGAGGCGCCGAGGCCGCCGGGGGAGCGCAGCGCCGAGCAGCCCACCTCCACGTCGCTGCTCATTTCGGCCTCGGCGGCCGCCTCTGAATAATGGCCCTGCTTCTTGCGGCTCTCGGCGGCGGCGGCGATTTCGGAGGAGACAGTGGTTTCACTGCCTGGGTGCTGCAGGTTGAACAAAGTGTCTATTTCGAATTTGCCCTTGGCGGGGAGGTCTCCCAGAGTGCCGTGCAGGGGGGCAGACGGCAGGCGCGGGCTGAGGCGAGCCGGGTGCTGCGAATTTTCCAGGGCCTCGAGCACAGCATTGCCAGCCGAGTCGGACAAATTGGAGAATCTCTTGCCGGCCGTAGGGCTGTGCAGCCCTCTCTCCATCAGAATCATCTCTTTTCTTATTCTTTCCATCATCTCAGCTTTCTTTAAAATGTCACAGTGGCCCTGCTGTCCCGTCCTAATGATGGGCTGCGCCTAGGGCTAATTCTCATTCAGTCCTAGCGAACGCCTCTAAATATTATTATCTCTTTCGGAGAGAGGCGGAAAAAATGTGGGATGCCAGAGCGAGGGAATGACTGGTCAAAATGACCCATACATCCTTCCGAGCCCGAGATGTCATTCATCAAAAAGTAGCGCCCGCTCGTCATTAAGGTACGAATGACGCTGTTCGAATAATCATTTATTGTAACAGGTTTATAAGCAAATAAATACACGCTCCTGTCAGTGGGTAATGAAGGCAGCTTCAGAGCAGACAAATAGATCCAGGTAGGAGGCGAGAAGAGACAAGTGAGGAGGAAGGCTCCAGTCCTTTGCCCGCTCGGAGCCAGTTCTGCTCGCCCGGGGGTTTGGCCTCGGGGGTGAAATTGACAGTCTGATTAATAGAGCGCGCCGCGGCACATTTCCCCCTTCATTTAGGGGCATCATTACGCTCTCAGTTTGCTGGGTTGCCCCTTAGGTCCTAATCATGCAGCGCCTTCCTCATTTTTCCTCGGACACAGATACATATTAAATAATAGATAATGCTTTGACTTTCCAGAGTAGATCCTCGGGTATGTTTTTTTTTTTTTTTTTTAATAACATTTACAAGCCGGGGGCGTAAGTGGGGGGAGACAAGGGGGAGGATGCAGGAAGAGTTGCGTAAGGAGAAGACCTTGCGCCTTTCCTGTCTGGATTACTTATTTTTCGGATTTCAGAACCAAGTATGTCTTTTATTTAACAAATAGGACGCAGGAGTTCTCTCCCTTCCTATTTCTTCATCTCAGCCTGAATGCTCTCCTCCCACCCCAGGAGAGAGAAAGAGATCGAGGGAGAGAGAGAGAGAGACAGAGAGGGAGAGAGAGAGAGAGAAGGAGAGAGAGAGAGAGAGAGAGAGAGAGAGCGAGAGAGAGAGAGAGAGAGAGAGAGAGAGAGAGAGAGAGAGAGAGAGAGAGAGAGAGAGAGAGAGAGAGAGAGAAAATATCCCAGAGTTTTGAAAGCGCTTTCTTGCTACGTGGCCGCGGAGGTGCTTTGGGCCCGCGCCTCCAAACGGAAATTATTAGTTCCTCTCTGATTTTCTAACATCGTTTGCGGAGTGAGCTCTGAACTCGAAGTCCCGGTGTTTTACTTTTATAATCCTGCTGATAGGAAGCCTTCTAGCCTACTCATTTTCCCGAGGGGAAACGAACTAGGCTAGACTATTTGATAGCAGAATTCGACAGCTAACTTTAAACACAGTGGAGATTTACAGCGCCATACAGGCGCACCGAATCCACTTTCACGTTGCCAGATTTTCCCCTCCCTCCTCAAATAGAATTATTTGCCGCAAAGGCGCTGGATTTGGAGGTCAAAAGAGGAAAGAGGAGACAGCCTTCTTCCCTTACCTCCCCGTTGCCCTCCCTTCCCCTTTGCTTTGCTTCCTTCTCTCTTTCTTCCCCTTATCAACCTCAGCCCTTACCTGAGGCCACAGGTAATCCCAGCGCTGAGTCCGGGCGCGGAGAATTGCCGAATAGCCTTACTGCAGCTCCCTGCAGCCTGAGCTTGGCGGCTGAGCCTCTTGGCGATAACTTTGATAGTCATAATGACGCCGGTGGCAACCATTTTAACGAAGATCAATCTTCACTCAAGGCCGCTCCTCATCTCCCGCGGTTGCTCCCCACCCTTTCCTGACCCTCCAAGCACTGTGCCCGCCCGCGGGCCAGTGGCCCAGCGAGGGAGAAATTCGCGGACTCTGGTGGAGGCGAGAGAGGACAGGGACGGGACGCGGAGATCCGCCCGTGAGCTTCTGAAGCGGTTGAGAGACCCTGACAATCTGGACGCTGGGCGCGGGTCCTGCACCCCCGCCTTTAGCGTCAACCCAGACCCCAACCAGGGCCCACTCCTCTCCTCTCTCCCGACACACCCAAAACATTGGGGTGTGGAAGGCGCAAACCCGAGATCTATTTGCCCGTGGCTCTTGGCTCTTTCTTTTTAACCTTAGATCCGTTGGGGGCGCGTCAGGAATCTAAGGGGAGGTGAGGTGTGAAGTATATTTATATACACATATACACACATATAGTCAATGCCAAAAGTTTATCTTCTGTTCCCCTCGGCGCCAACTTATTTCAACAACGAAAGTTTTGCTTAGAAAATCAATTCCACCTCTTTAAGGTAATAAACGGAAAGCTCGATAGGCGGGCGGTGCCTGGAAGGGTGGGGGACTGGGAAGGCGGCAGGGAACACAGAGTGGGCCTCCGGCACCGGGACTGGGACTTGACCCAGCGTCCCCTCCTCCACTGCCCCGTTGAACCTCCAGCTCCGAGCTCCCTGAGTTCTCATTGAGCCGGCTTTGGGGCCACAAGCGCGGCGGGAGCCCAGCCCTGTCAACTCCCCGACCTGCTCCCTCCCTGCTCCGCAGCCCAATGCCCAGCTCTACTATTTATTCCTTGCAGTCGCTGCCCCCATGACCCGGGAAGGGTCCCCCTACTCAGTCCTCGCGTGCTCCAGGGACTGAATGGGACACGTTGGTCCAGGCTCCGGTCGTGGCGGGGTGGGGGGGGGTGTTGCAAGACCCTGGTGGGGGGTGGGGGTGAGCCAAGGCACTGCTTGGCGGAAATCCGTGGATGCCTTTATTGCTGTCGTTTGGCGCCCCCATCTGTTTTCCTCGCGGTTTTGGCTGCTGCGAGCTGGTTTTCAAGTCGGGAAAGCAGTCACTAGGGGTTAAGGTGAGAACTGATCACCCCTTCCTCTATCCTCCCGCCCAAGGGTCTCCCACATCCTCCCTTCCCCTGGGACCCGACGCCTCTGGTCTCAAAGGCTACGCCAAACCGGACCTCAGTCTGTTGAAAGGGAAAACACTATTTCTCAGCAACACCTTCATTCATTAGTGGCTTTGAAAACCATTTTTGCATCTTTTAAATAACATTGATGTTGCATTTCTAGCACGTTTATTACAAAAAGCAGGTCAGAGACCACGTCAGCGAAACTATTCACAGTTAAAGACACCTATAATGTTTCCACTAACCTGGGTGTAGCAGATAATAATGTTTCATGGGGTTCAGTGAGCATTCCATTCCAATATTTAATGTCCCTTAATTTATTTAGAGATTCCACATCCACTAGTAGTAATATTGGCTAACTTATATTAAGCTCTTACTATGAAATTCGAAGTGCTTTTTACATGTTATCTCGGCTAAGGTTCACAGCAACTCCATGAAATTTAAACTATTAGTCCTTTTCCAGGGATGATGAGCCAGAGGGGTTCCGGGACTTGCTCTTGATTTTAACTTATCTCCAGTTATAAAGTCAGAGTTGTTTAAAGCCTTGAGCAGCATTTTTTAGGTTAATACTCTCATTTTGCATATCTCTTATGTAAATACAGGCCTACCTCAAAAACCATTGAACCTATATAGAGGGTAGCAAGAAGAACGCGTTTGTGTTTACGTGTTTTGATGAAATACTAAAACTTGCGCAGGTCCCAGAATGTGAAGGCTGACTGGGAACAGTCCTGTCTAATGTTCCGGGTGGTTAGATGCAGCCTCTGGGAGCATCAAGGTCTCTTACCCACTACCAAGGTACAGGACCTGCTAGATAAAAGAAGACAAGAATCCAACCCACGCCCGCACGCTTTGGCAGAATTTTTTAAGAAGGGGCGGGAAGGACTTTTTCGCATGGACTGAAAAGCACTTTTTGTTCTAGAGGAGTAATGACTTAAAAGAAGCCTAATTTTTTGGTTAGGCTTCCAGACTAAATATTTGTTTCTTGAGCAGCAGCGGGTCCTCCGAGGTGAAGTGGTAAACACTTTTGGCCTATGACTGCGGGCAATAAAAATCTGTCCAGGCTGCCTGAGGGGAGGGGCGCCGGTAAAGCCGGAGCTGGAGCTGAGCCCCGCGGCTGCAGCTGCCGTGGCCTGGCTCTCCTCTCACGCTGGGGCTGCCGGACGCTGAGGCCAACAACCTGCGGGCCTGCGGTGGGACGCGTGCTCGCCCAAGAGCTGAGGCTGCAGGATGCGGTGGGACAGTAGGACCGCGAAAGCCTGGGCTTCGAGCCTCGGGCGCCCTGTCTTTAGGCAAAGTGAGGTTTCCACGGCTGCAGGTTTCGCTGCATAAGAGAAGAGCGGATTTGGCGACTCCAGGCCTCACTTGTAGTGGCAACTTTGTGCTGCCATCCCTGGGCAGGCCAGCCTCTAGCTATCTGTCCCATCCGAGTCTCTCCGCTGGCTTCGGTCTTTCCTCCTCCCTCTCCCGTCGCAATCCCGCGTCCCACGGCGGACGGTCGTGGTGCGGGGGTTGGGGGGTACTTTCTTCCTTGACTGGGGCTACGCAGACATATCGCCTGCCTCTAGCTCCAGGGCCCTCAGACGCCACGGGAAAACTTGCAGGGACATCTAGCGCCAGACGTGGGGAACTGCGCGCTGCCGGGCTGGGAAGCGGAGCCGAACACTGCCCCTCTGCCTCCCTCTAGGCTCCCCCTTCATGCTTGGGAACTTTCCTCACCTTCATCCCTTTGCCCGGCCAATGAGGACAATGTGGATTTCCCATAGAGACTTCGGACTCTGCGGAATGGAGATAGGTAGGTAGACAGACATTTTCTTTTATCTCAAGTGGCCGACTGAGCGAGAATTTGCTGGACTTAAAAATTGTTTTGCTAGTGAAGTGTATTCCAAGGACGACCCCTCACCTTGAGATGTCGGATAAAAGTACAGCAAATTAGGGACCCAGCTTTTATTTTTCAAAATAGGCAACAAGTTACTCAGGGCCTCCGGCTCTTGCCACACCCTCCTGCTCCGTTTCATAGTGAGATTAGAGCTGCTTTTCAAGGGAAGAGATCCTCACAGTGTTTAATTCTCTCCAAGGCTGGAGAAGTCCTCTCCATCCCATAAAAGGGCCCGCCGTCCTGTATGAGGCAAACCTGGTTTCACCAAATAATGTTTCTGGTTTGGAGGGGGTTTGGGGTTGTTGTTGCTGCAAACGATTTTCATTTGATAAAGCCTAATCGTGTTGTGAAACCCAAACGGAGTGTGTCTCAAGGGTGGAAAGTGCTCAAATGCAGATTCCACTGTCCGGTTGTTGCTGGAGTCCCCTTTTTTCACCCAGGTTTGGTTTGTTGTTGTTTGTTTTGATTTCGCCAGCCTGAGTAAAACTGGGGTGTTGTCTGGTAAGGGAAAATTGGCTCCAAAGTTGGCGGAACACAGATTTGGTTAAGAATGATGTCCAGCCAGTACTGCTACACATCAAGAGTTTACTTTGGAATTAAGACTCTATTTCTACATGGAATATTTGGCTTCCTACAAGTTAACTAGGAGGGTGTCCTGCAGTTCCTGATCATGGCCATCAAGACAAATGCTTTCAAAGGAGTCCCCAGGACCCTACTCTGATAGAATCCTGTGATCCTGGCCTTAATGACCACCGATTACGTGGTTAATCAAGCTCATTGCTGTCTTGGCAAGCAGAGCAACTTCAATAAATCTAAATCACAGCCTATATCTGCCCATTCCTCCAACCCAGGACAGGAGGAAATTTTGAAAGATAATCTACTAGGATGAAAAGACAGAATGTGACTTCCAGAACAGCACTGATGCTTAAAAAGGGTGCCTCTGGAGGAAAAGGAGGAAGAGGAACAAGTGATGGGATAGTAAAGTGGGACTTTGGGTACCAAAGGGCCATCCTGAATTTTTCACCAAAATCAG